TTTGTGGGTAATCCCAGTTTTGGCTCAGTGAATGCAATAGAGAGCCAAACAAATTCTAGGATAAATGAGAGAGGGGCTAAAATATTTTGCCAAATCCATTGAAAAGTAAAAGATTTTTTAAATATTATTCTACTGATTTCATTTTCTGGAGTTGCAGGGAGAAGTGCTACAAGAATTTGGCATTAAATACCATTTAGAAAAGGTTTTAGCTTATAAGAGTTAACGAGGCATAATATTATAGGTATGCATCACATTTTTTTTACATGTATAAAACTCATCGGAGATACTGACAAAAATGGTCTCATTGTTTACAACCTTCGAATGCAACAATCAACAGTAAATTTAAAGTGCAACGAACGAACTTTCACAATTTATCAATGTTGCTTGTATCTGTAAAATTTTAAATGTAGATAAATTGACTGTTTTTGTTCTTAAAAATGAGAATTCTCCTCTGTTCTTGATGAATCAAATTAACGTCATTTGTGTGTCGTTGCAATGAATATGTTTGTTTCCCATCCTTTTGAAATGATTTTCCGTTCGTTCAAGATGGCTGGATAAACATTGATCATGAAACTGTATAGGAATCAATTGAAAGTGTCATTAATCATTATATATATTTTTTATCAATCCCATTTTAGTGGATAACCGAGAAGAAGCAGCCAGGCACGGGATTCCATCAATCGGTCCATCAATTACAAATGACTATTCTTATTGGAGAAAAAGAAGCATTGAAAAAAACCTCGAGAAATGACTAAAATTAGATTTATCCAATTTCCATTTGACAATAGTGGCATAACCGCCTAATTAGTGTAAGCAAAAATAACTATTTAACCTAGTCTTCTCGTATAAACACTATGCTGAATTTTAAAAATAGGTTTTAACTAGATTAATATTTGATAAATAAATTTTGATTAATTTATCATCCAGGAATAATTACGGAAAAATAACCCTGTTTCTACACCATTTTATAAAATTCAATTTATTTTATAAAAAAAAAAATATTTTTTATCTAGAAAGATTATTAAAAAATTACACTAAAAACATTATTACCAGCAATGATCCCTCGCCTTTTGCCATTTATAAGCTCAGGTTTAGAAACATTTTGGTTAAATTCAAACCAAAAAACTGGTCCATGTTTATTACCACCAATTTGACTGTTAGAATCTTTACTGATCATTTTCATTCTATATTCCGCCTGATTTATTTAAGTTCGATATTTGTGCTATTCAGGCGTCCAGTTTGACGATAGAAGTATCGTCCTATTAAGATCAACATTTGCTCCAACAGCGAAGGAGTTTTGACCAGCCTGGACCACTTTTAAATGCTGGTATTTTGGTCCATTGTGACCGGGGTTTTGTAACACCTTTAAAACACAGCTATATTAAAAGTTTTATATTTGAATAAAATTGATGCCATATCATCATAAATATATTTTGTCAAATAAATTTGCTTAGAAGCATAAATTTTTGAACAAATGCAAAACATTACTAGCAATACATTTTTTTAAAAATCTCTTTGGCATTAATAAGCCAGATATTGTAGTTTTTTGGTAAAACAAACAAATGTCAACTCTAATTCTGTTAATATATACAAATAATAAACTAACAATACTAGTTTTGTTGTTGGTGATGCTTTGGGAACTATAAGTACTGAACTTCCGAAGTGATTGGAAAAGTTTGGGGCCAGTGTCAATATAGGAGATTTGCAGAAGACTGAATTTTTGGGATTGTTCTTATGCTTCAAAAAGTATGAAAATGCGCCACGTCTCAACCCATTGGCTATGACCAGCTGGTCCTTTGTTTCATCTTCAGCAATATTTGCCATATTTTCAGCTTTGTAAAATAATAATAATAATAATAATAATAATAATAATAAGTAAGATACAAGAAACTGATATGAACATCACCCAGACACGGTTACACATGTAGGAAATGTAGCAATTTTTATGGGACTTTACAATACACACATACAGAACAATCAAAGCCAATCGCCCAGACATCGAGGATCAAAGACCATAAAAACAGAATGCGCTTTCTTATTGACATGGAAGTCCCTGCAGATTGTAATGTATATTTGAAGATCTCCAAAAATCTATCAAAATACAAAGATCTTGAAATGGAAATCTGAAGGATGTAGTACGAGGGCATCAGTAATTCCAGTTGCAGTCGGAGCCATGGATTGATTGGAAAAAAGTTTCTGAAAGACTCATTGAAGTGATTCTGGCAGCCCATATCTTAAAAAAGAAATACAAAAGATTGTACTCACAATTTACAGTTCACACATTACGAAAAAAGCTTTATCAATGTGTGTGATCTTAAATTTTTTTTTTTTTTTTTAAAAATGATTTTGGAAAATGAAATAATTTCTGACCGTAGGACTCTGGTTGGGACCCGGTAGGAAATGTGCATACAACAGAAATTAAAGGATAATAATAATAATAATAATAATAATAATAATAATAATAATAATAATGTAGACATAACAACATACCACTACCTGCTTTAGGTCTTCCAGCAAACTTGGTCGGTAGTGTAACCATAGTTGATATCGAAATATAATGATGACGATAATGATGATAATGATGATGATGATGATGATCTGAGGTTTTGTGACTTGCAGACAGTCGCTTAAAATTATTTCCTGTATTTGAAACCATCACTCTGCTTATCACATAATAATAAAATAATAATAATAATAATAATAATAATAATAATAATGGTAACTGCAAAAAAAACACGGAAAAAATTCCTGTAGATGTCGGATTGTGATTTGGAAACTGAACAACTCCAAAAAAGCATGCTTGCTCAGAACAGTTAACGTAAATCGAAAAGTATTGGTAATACAACCTGTCCAAGAAAAAGAACAAATGGTCGGTTTATTTTCTTATGTCACAAACGGGGACCTGAAAACTTTTAACCATCACCATACGCTGTATGAAAGCGAAACAGCAATGATTATTTTTTTTAAAGGAGCTGGGTGATTACAATCAGTTACAAGGTTTTTTAAAAAGAAAATAAGTATATTATTAGAAAACGAAAAGAGACAAGCCATAGCTAGACAAACGGTGAAACATTCCTGATTGTCATTTTAATTTATTCCTGAATTCGAAACCAAAAAAAATATTTTTGAATAAATTGTAACACGAGGGACAACAGAAAAATAATACCGTTAAAGTCAACTTATCAGACGTTCATGGATTCTGCAAAGGCTTCAAAAAAAAAAAAAAAAAAAAAAAAAAAAATGCACACACATACTTTTTAAACGTGCTGTTTGCCTGAGTACGATTTTAGCAACTCGTTTCGCAGGCTAAATAAAAAAAAAAAAAAAAAAAAATAAATAAATAATAAAGAAAAAAGAAAAAAAACACCGGTCTATTATGTAATATCAGTCCTCCTATATTGCAGTGAATTCTGGACAATCTCATCACAGATGGAGAAGTAACTAAAGACGACAGAAATGTTCTAAAAAAGAATGTTGGACATACAGGGACTGAACAATTTAGTAACAACAAATTTTAGAGAAAATGGAAACAAAGAGAAAACTTATACTTAACATTAGAAAGAAACATCATGTGGAAAGATGATTTGGAAAATTTGACACTCACAGCGCATATTAACGGCAAGGGAAGCCATTCTTTTCCTAAGTCATGGCAATTCATAGATTATATAGAAATATAGGCTGTAGAGAAACAGGGTCGGCCACATCCTGAAAGGACATGACATTCTTTAAAAAATGGCAGATAATGTTGTTTTTAAACATTTCACCTTAATCAAGGCAATAAAGAAACTAAGACGCAAGGAATTACTGAGAGGGAGAGAATATGAGAAAAGAAAACTTTATTAAGGAATCAGAACAATAAAAAGAACAGGGATTAAGAAGTCAGAAGATGACGATTGACATTGCATTTAAATTTTGATGATCAAATTTGACTGGAAGGCAAGAAGGCTGGGAAATATTTCACAAGCGTGAAGAAACTCTTAGCATAGAACTTACGGTTATATTTAGCCATTTCAACTATAGGATGATGAAATCTTGCTGTCAGTCTAGTACTACGTTTAAATTAACGAAGTTTATGTACCAAAGAAGGACACAGAACAATTACCATAAAAAAGTATTTATAGAAAAGCACATGAAGCTACATTACGGTGGTGAGAAAGTGACTGAAACCGAGATGCCAGGTCGGGGCCAATAACATTGCAGATTTTTCTTTTGTATGTTATCAAGAATCTCTAATGATATTAAATGTTTCCTTATAAGGAAACATTCGGCATTCATTCAGGGACGAATAGCCAGTGTTACTGTCGGATGGAATTTAAAAAAAATTTATTAAAACAATTTTATAGGAAAATAAGTTTATTATTAAGTCCATTAACTGTTATCGCTTTTTTCTAGTATTGATGGGAGCTTTCTTCCTAACCTTTTTGTTCAAAATAGTGTGGAAGGTCAACATTTTCATTATATCATTATTTTCTCTTCAAGTGAGATGTGCTATCCATTTTAGCTGTTGCTGTTGTTGAACGTCCCCAAATGGGCGTAATTTCTCCTGTCAGACACAGTTCTTTCTGTGTGAATCAGTAGCGCCAGTCCATAAGGCTAGAAATTGGATGATCTTAGCTAAGAACTACAGGCTTCTTATATTTGTATATATATTTCATACACTAAATATATTATTATAGAGCCGGTTAGTGAACTATTTTGGTTAGTTATAATCAGTGAGTTGTCAGTTTATTCTCACTAAGTGCTTCATATTTGTAGCCTTGTGCCAGAACTTAAGAAATAAGTACAAGTTCTAAACCCGCATTTTTGTTTTCCATTTGTTTTTTTTAATTATTATTTTCAGTTTCACCCCACCTATTTTATCAAAAGGTGGGTTCGAAAACTATTGTGTCAACCCTACTATCGTTGGTGAGGGAAGTAAATAGTCTCATCACTTTTCTCTGCCCTAGCCTCAAACTATTTTTGGAAAAAAAAAACAACTTTAATTTTTCATGTCATTTTCAATGTCGTCCCTTGAGTTTTCGGACGATTTTCATGTCCGTAATAGTCATTTCGCTATAAATCTATCAATTATATTTTCGTTACAGATTCAATCATGGGGCGAGGTTGCATCTGACAATAATTTTGTTCTGCTCTAACTTTTTTCGTTCTTGTTTTCTTTTAAGAAAGAAAGAAAGAAAAGAAAAGGTTTTTAATAAATAAATAAATCCCTAAAGAAAGAAAGATGAACTGAAAAGACAGAAAGGTAAGAAAGTAAGATAGAAAACGGTAGTAAAAAAATAAATCATTTTTCCCCAAAAAAAAGATAAGTTAGAAAAAAAAAAAGAAAGAAAGAAAATTCAATTAAGGTAGAAAAAGAAAAACGAAGCGAGAAAGAAATAAAGAATGAACAAAAAAGAAACAAAGAAAATGAAAAGATGGCAAAAATAAATTATCAGGAAAAGAAGTGAGAAAAAGGAGAAGAGAGGAAACAAAAAAAGATGAAAAGGCGATAAAAATAAATAAATAACGAAGAAAGAAAAGGAAGCAGGAAGAAAGAAAGAAAGGAAGGAAGGAAGAAAGAAATAAAGAAATAAAGAAAGAACACTATAAATAACCAACAATTTATCAGGTAAACAAATTCACATATTCCGAGGTAAAAAGTTAAATTCTCATTTTTTTACAAACTTTTACAGCCATTCGCTTGACATTCAAATTTCAAGTAGAATTTTTGTCAATTAATCTAAGTTGCACCAGTTTTCATTGGACAAGTAACCTAACCTGGTTTAATTTAAAAAAAAATTAAAATTCAACATTCAGCTTCTTTTGCTGACCGATGACTATGAAACAGCCCTAAAAGATAGCGGATTCCCAGCAACACTCACATACTCACCACAGAACACATAAAAAAGGCCAACAGGAAAAGAAATATCAAATGGTTAAACCCACCGTACTAAAAAAACGTAAAAAACATATATATATATATATATATATGAAGAAATATAGTCTTAAGATTTGCTATATTTATGGGATAAAGTGCTCAATATCAGAGATAGATTTCTTCAGTGTTATTATTTTTCGCAACCAAACCAGTTCATTTAAAAAGGAATCAATATATATATATATATATATATATATATATATATACATACAAACAATATATATATATATATATATATATATAAACAAACAATATATATATATATATATATTATACATAAAACAATATATATATATATATATATACATACAAACAATATATATATATATATATATATACAAACAAATATAATATATATATATATATATATATATATACATATATATATATATATATATATATATATATATATATATATATATATATATATATATATATATATATATATATATATATATATATATATATATATATATATATATATATATACATATATATAAATATATATATATATAAAATATATATATATATATATATATATATATATATATATATATATATATATAATATATATATATATATATATATATATATATACATATATATATATATATATATATATATATTTATATATATATATATATATATATACAATATATATATATATATATTTATACAATATATATATATATATAATATATATATATAAAAAATATAACGCATGTATATTAAATATAAAGATTTCTGTTAAAATGAAAATTTCAGAACATTTTTCAATCACATTGTCTGCAATGATGATATTATAGCAATAATTCAATTTTTTAATGATAGACAAATATATTTTCTCCCCCACCCCCCCAAAATAACTTTTCCCGATATCGAATTCAGACAATTTTTTAAACGATTTCTTCCCAAGCAAGGTATTGAAATCACTACGATACAGGATTTTATTCGGTGGGGCAGAATTAAAAAAGAGTAACTTTACTAAGTAGCAAGAACAAATGTAGAGTAATCAGTAGGACTGTTTAAACCGATTGACATTGCATTTAAATTTTTGAAGTTTAATGTTGGCTGATATCATGGAATCGGAATAGAGCAAGAAAAGAAACTGAGCATAGAACTTACGGTTACATCAAGTCAGCTCAACTGTAAATTGTTGAGATCCCGCCACCAGTCTAGTCAGTCAGTCAGGTGCCAGACGTGATACACCCTTGGGCGGTCATGTATCATTCAATACATGACTGACGATACAGAAGATTTTTCTCGCAGTAGGTCGCCATTTCGTTCTATAGTAGACTGGTTACCAACCAAGGCAAAATAACCCAGTCTGTACTGCTTTTTAACCCATAGGTGGGAGAGAAGTGAAGGATTCATACATTTCCGAAGGATATTTTGCCTAACCGATTATAACGAATTCGACTGGAATCCGATCTTGCCTCTCCGAGTCCGAAACAATGGCCATTACACACACACACACACACACACACACACACACACACACACACACACACACACACACACACACAGAGAAAACACAAAAAACTGAAGGCACCATGGCGAAGATCTCATTTGACCAATTCCCTTGAAATCATTCATTGAAAAAGCACGTAAAAGTAACTTTACGGCAGTGAGAAAGTCACTGAAGCCAAGACACCAGATAAAACCAACAATATTGCTGATTCTTATTTGGATTTTATCGAGAACGTCTAGCTATATAGCGGGAGCATAAGACCATGCGTATGTTCTCCTGTAGTTAAAATGCTTATAATACCTTCAACAAAAAATTACCCAGATTATTTAACTGTGCGAACAATCTATAGATGAATTATATCACAATGTTCTAAATGCTTACCCATGACAGGTCTATGATGTCAACAAGATATAGTTGTTGGACATGCTTATCCAACTCAGGATCGATTATTTTGACCAGGGGAAACATTAAGAGTTCTAGTAGGATTCTATCTCATCTAAAATGGCTTATGTGACCAAGCAGTGGCTTTACAAGTATTTTTGCAATCTCCGATGTGATTTCCATATTATACTGTTCGATACTGTTGTGTCTAGAGGGTCGTTCGTACTGCGACAAAGAAGTCATTAAAGTTCGCCCCGAGGGACGTGTTGGGGAATAAGAAACGGAATCATTTAAATGGTGAATGAAATCCCTCCCGAAGATCCAAGATATCCTCACTGCCAATTTCAGCTTTATTACATATTTTCCTGAAAACTTATTTTCTGGAACATCCATTTATCAAAGCTGTTGGAAATTTCGCAATTACTAAATAAAACTTGACCATATATTTTCTGTTTTGCTCAGATATTATTTCCTAATTGTGAGACTTCAACCATCTGTGAAATAATTTGAAAATAACTGAACATTCCGATTATAATTTGAGATGAAGAGATTATTAAAACATGGAAAACTCCAGGAAAACAAGGTTTGAATTTCGTTAGTAAATATAAATGTATAGATATATGCAATTTCTCTTTCCATGTCAAATACCACGTGTTTTCCAATATTTTGAATTTAAGAGTAATTTCCATCCCACTATGTAAAGTCATTCAATACAATATATAGTTTCTTACTAATATGATCTATATTTGTGTGTTCAGATCTATCTGTCAATCTTTGTGTGTTAGATATCTCCCTGTCTATGTTTGTGTATTCAGATCTCTCTTTTTCCCTGTCTATCTTCAGATCTCTCTATATTTGCATATTCAGATCTCTCTCTCTCTCTCTTTCTATCTATTTTGGCGTGTTCAGATATCTCTCTCTATATATTTGCTTGTTCACAGCTCTCTCTCTCTCTCTCTATCATTGCGTGTTCAGATCTCTCACTCTCTCTATCATTGCGTGTTTAGATCTCTCTCTCTCTATCATTGCGTGTTCCGATCTTTATCTCTCTCTCTGCGTGTTCCGATCTCTATCTCTCCCTTTTTCCCTACATTTGCGCGTTCAGATCTCTCTGTCTCTCTCTCTCTATCATTGCATGTTCAGGTCTCTCTCTCTATCATTGTGTGTGTAGATCTCTCACTCTCTCTGTATTTGCGTGTTCAGATCTCTCTCTCTCTCTCTCTCTCTCTCTGCGTTTTCTCTCTCTCTCTCTCTCTCTCTCTGCGTTTTCCGATCTCTCTCTCTCTTTTTCTCTGCCTTTGCGCGTTCGGATCTCTCTCCCTTTCTATCATTGCGTGTTCAGATCTCTCCCTCTCTCTCTCTCTTTGTCCGCTCAGATTTCTCTCTATCTTTCTCTATCTCTGCGTGTTTAGATCTCTCACTCTCTCTCTATCTTTGCGTGTTCAGATCTATCACTCTCTTTATCTTTGCGTATTGAGTCATCTCACTCTGTCTTTGCGTGTTTAGATCTCTCACTCTCTCTGCGAGTTTAGATCTCTTTATATACAATTGCGTGTTCAGATCTCTCTCTCTCTCTCGCTTTGTTTTCTGATCTCTGTCTCTCTGTGTGTTCAAATCTTCCTCTCTCTATGAGTTCAGATCTATCATAGTGTGTTCAAATCCATTTATTTATTTTCCGATATATCTATCATAGTGTGTTCAAATCTATCTATGTATTACAATGTGTGATTATTTTTGTAGTAGACTTACTGTTTGAATGCGAAATAATCGACCGACTATACATGAAGTGAAACATTTGACTAGATCTCTACCATTATATGCACGCTATTATATACGTTCGCAAAGACAAATATATAGTTGGAATTTTTCTTTATGTAGACAGCAAAATACTCCAGTACACGAACTCATAATTCTATTTGCTCAAGATTCGATCCTTTTTATAAATATTTGTTCGCTCTTTGTGCTGTCGACGAATTCAGTCTCCCTGACCTTGTACACACGACTTTCGATCGCTGTACACAATCTCTAAAGAATCATGATCTTTGCAACTGACACGCCTCCCCTTAACACTCTCCCAGATCACCTCACCCCTTGATATAAAGACGCGTACATGAGAACACAAGTTTTTGGAACGATCGAATTAGTTGGTATCGATATCCCATACCGGTAAACTCCGATTGGAAAATCAATCAAAAAGTCATACATATTCTTATAATCTTCAAGTCAACTTCGATATTACACACATTTCTTTTTCCTTTGACTCTGAAGAAATTTCATCTTTTCTCTATTTTCGTCAAAGTTTATTTGTAAGTATTTCATATTATACAGTGTGAAGGTAAAAAAAGACTGTTTGATCTATTTTTAACGAAAAAAAAATGGTGTAAAAAAAAGACGTAAATTAGAAGAATCGGGAGAAATAAGGTGTAATAAAATATCTACAAAGATATAGTCTGGGAATCTGGAGGTCATAGGTTTATTGACTAATAAATGTAAGAAATTCATACGTTTTGACAGTTATGACGATCCATATTTTCTTAGAAATTTTTCTCATTGCATTGCGAATGATTTTACTATCTCATGACTTATAATGCGCACACTGAGAGATGTATTTGTAACAAGAACGACAGATCAAATAAAAATTTACGATAAAAATATTTTAAAATAAATGAAAACATGAAATTTCGTAAATATGTGCCTGGTAGCTTAATTACTTACATACTTTACCTACAAATATCAGAGGTTGGATTTCGAATTTAGAAAAAAAAAAACAAGATTATCTAATGGTAATATCCTAGGAAAGACATCTCTGATAGGACGAATAGTAATAATGCCTTCAATCCTGATGAGTGTTAATAACCTTTATGAGACTCCTTGCCTAGAGCCCCTATTTGGTTGAAAGATCATTCCAGACTACAATTAGAACTCATATATTCATGCAAAAGTTGCCGCAAGAATGACTGGTTCCTTGAGTCGCTTCAGAAAATACCAAATTCCTGATTCAATACTCTATCTTCACTAGAGCCAGATCAGATAAAATCAAGAATGAAGTATTGCTGCCATATCGAGGTTAGTGCTACACAGACTTCACCTATCAACCGCAACTGAGTACCAAAGCGATACCCTGGCCTTGTGGACGATTATTTCCGACTCATCTCACAGACGATATCTAGCTAGCCTCTCACTGCTCTGTCGTTTGAAGAAATTGCAAATGAGATCATTTTGCTCTGACCATTGCTCAGTTGGGACGACAGCGTGTCTGATACAAAACAATTTTAACTGGCTCTCTTTTAAACTAAATAATAAAAGTGTTTTTCAGTAATTCTTAAGACAAATGGTAGCAAAATCGCTATACAACTTATCTGAAAACCTGGCAAAAAGAGAAATCACTTAGCTTAGTAGTTTTTAGTGATTAAACATTTTGTGAGATGGATAATTATGCTGTTTCATCCGGTATATATCTTTAAATATAATTCATCAAAATCTTAATCACCTTCATTTTCAATGATTTCAGCCAAAGGCGAAGGAAAGTTTTTGATTCCACTTTTAAAAAAGATTTTGAATTTTTCACAGAAACAATATTCAAAGCCTGTTTCTTAATGATCTACATTTTGTAATATTTTACAGCGTGAGAAACACATGCTAATCTGTAGGGGATGTGAAAGTTGGTGAATAAGCAATATTAGTTGAGACAAGAAGAGTAGCTAGATGAGAAAAGGTGTAAGGTAGATATGAAATATTAGATGAGACAAGATGAGAAAATCGGTTGGAACAGACGAGAAAATATCGATGAAAAGTTAAGAGAAAATGGAAAAGTAGATATGAAATGAGAAAGAAGAAATAGTAGTTGGCAATTGTTCCTCCTACGAAAATGAATGCTTATCAAAGTTGCATAATTCTCATGACGTATTAGAAAGCTAAACATAAATTTTCAAGAAATGATAGTTGCCTTCCTTGTACTTGAAATTTCTACATATTCGTCAAATGCATACGAGATAGGATTTCGAGTTCAAATGTGAGTCACTACTTGGAAATGGATGCAGTATAATTGAACTATTTAAGGAAATGATAGTTGTCCAGCCAACTGGTTTTGAAATTTCTACATATTCGTCAAATTTTTTGAGATAGGATTTCGAGTTCAAATGTGAGTCACTACTTGGAAATGGAGTGCAGTATATTGAACTGCTAAGGAAATGATAGTTGTCCAGCCTTGTACTTGAAATTTCTACATATTCGTCAAATGCATACGAGATAGGATTTCGAAAAAAACGTGAGTCACTACTAAAAATGGAGTGCAGTATATTGAACTGCTAAGGAAATGATAGTTGTCCAGCCTTGTACTTGAAATTTCTACATATTCGTCAAATGCATACGAGATAGGATTTCGAGTTCAAATGTGAGTCACTACTTGGAAATGGAGTGCAGTATATTGAACTGCTAAGGAAATGATAGTTGTCCAGCCTTGTACTTGAAATTTTCATATTCGTCAAATGCATACGAGATATAAATTTCGAGTTCAAATGTGAGTCACTACTTGGAAATGTCTGCAGTATATTGAATGAAAAGGAAATGATAGTTGTCCAGCCTTGTACTTGAAATTAAACATATTCGTCAAATGCATACGAGATAGAATTTCGAGTTCAAATGTGAGTCACTACTTGGAAATGCAATGCAATATATTGAACTGCTAAGAAATGATAGTTGTCCAGCCTTGTACTTGAAATTTCTACATATTCGTCAAATGCATATTTAAGGATTTGAGTTCAAATGAGTCACTACTTGGAAATGCAAGAAATATATTGAACTAACACACACATCTGCATCCTACTGAATTAATCCCGAGATTTTACAAGTATTATGGGAATACAGATTTACAATCAGTTTTGTAGCTTACACAAGTTAAACACGCTTTAGTATGTTCAAAGTATAAGTTAGTCATTTTTACTCATGAATAGGAACGATTGGTTGTTTCCATAGAAACCAAATTGAACAAGACTGCAACAGCATGCTACACATAGAAAAAAGAAAGAAAAAACACACACACCATACTTTTATGCGTATATATATATATATATATATATATATATATATATAATATATGTGTGTGTGTGTGTGTGTGTTAATACAGATTCGTTTGAAGATCAAAGAAAGTTCTTTTTGAAGATTTTGTTATTTGATTAATTTTCCCTCTTTTATGACGAGTTGTCTGATATTAGGAGTGTAGCTGTACATATATTCTCCACTTTTCACGTGTTATCGGCTTTCGTAAGACATTCTGATATAAAATCTCTCTATATAATATCATTTCGTTTTTAATACATTATGTATAGTTAGTAAGATGTTTTCTTTTATATATTAAAAATTTGTTTAAACTTTGTTTAGGATTTTTAATATGTTGTTTAATATTCATTGTAGATGGCATGTTATTTATGTGTCATAGGTGCTTCTTGTATGTATAATATTAAATATATTTAATATATTGTCCCTAAGTTAAATGAAATTTGTTAAATGTTTCGTTGTTTTGCTTTTATTATTTTACGCTTTAAGGCATCGTATATTTATGATAGATTTTTAAAACTGTATGATGTATTTTTTTTTTTTTTTACCTGATAAGTAATTCTTTGGATTACTAGTTTTCTTATTTATTGATTGGCTATATGCAATTTAATAGAGCTATTTTCAGGTAAATAGCAATATAGTCTATTACAATGAGATATGTAACCGATGCATATATATTATATAATTTGCTAACGTTTTGAAGTAGTCATTTCGCTACTACCGTATGAAAAATCATGGATTTTTCTTCCTTACCCGAGCCAATTTCATAGACTACTTCAAAGGCATTTGATGATGTAGGATACAAAGATCTATTTGAACTAATACGTAAACTTGCTTTTTTAAGAGAGAATATAGAATAACCACGAATATATATTAGTAGCAACGTGCCTGCATGTGTATAGAAAATGAATTAAGTAAACAAAAACAGAAAGAGTTGTAAATCAATGATTTGCTTGGATTTATTCACCCTTTAAGCAAAGCTAAGAAAACTGAAAATCCTACGTGTATTTTTATCGGTGGGCATAACATTAACGACATACCACAGATGATAATATGTTGATGCCAGACAGAGAAAAAAAATGAAAGAAATCCTTTTTTATTTTTTTCCTTATGTACTGTATCCTCTCAAGACGGAGGCGATCATATCCTTTGTAGCACTTAATAAACCTTGACTTTCTGTAATTTTTTCTAAGTTCTGTTCCGTCAGCCATTTACTCAAACTCACTATGTTATGCGTTGTTTTCCTTTGTACCTCTTGCCCTCCGTCCGTCCGTCTTGGATTTTCATCCTACATTATGCACCCAAGAAACCTCAACTGTCTATTACTGATGTTAAGTATTAGTTCCTTTTTTGTTTCCATTTTCTCCCAAATTGCGTCGTTGCTCACGTATTCGGGCCAAGGTATTCTAAACATACCTCTGTAGAACTACATTTCTGTTGTTTCAAGTCAT